GTGCAGTGGTGGTCAAAAAGGCAAATAGGATGCTAGGAATTATTAGGAAAGGGATAGAAAATAAGACCCAGAATATCTTACTGCCCCTGTATAAAACTATGGTATGCCCACATCTTGAATACTGTGTACAGATGTGGTCTCCTCACCTCAAAAAAGATATTTTGGCCTTGGAAAGGTTCAGAAAAGGGCAACTAAAATGATTAGGGGTTTGGAACGGGTCCCATATGAGGAGAGGTTAAAGCGACTGGGACTTTTCAGTTTAGAAAAGAGGAGACTGAGGGGGGATATGATAGAGGTCTATAAAATCATGAGTGGTGTGGAGAGGGCTGATAAAGAAAAGTTATTTATTAGTTCCCATAATAGAAGAACTAGAGGACACCAAATGAAATTAATGGGTAGCAGGTTTAAAACTAATAAAAGAAAGTTCTTCTTCACACAGCGTGTAGTCAACCTGTGGAACTCCTTGCCAGAGGAGGCTGTGAAGGCTAGGACTATAATAGAGTTTAAAGAGAAGCTAGATAATTTCATGGAGGTTAGGTCCATAAAAGGCTATTAGCCGGGGATAAAATGGTGTCCTTGGCCTCTCTGTCAGAGGCTGGAGAGGGATGGCAGGAGACAAATCGCTTGATCGTTGTCTTTGGTCCACCCTCTCTGGGGCACCTGGTGCTGGCCACTGTCAGTAGACAGGATACTGGGCTAGATGGACCTTTGGTCTGACCCAGTACGGCTGTTCTTATGTTCTTATGGATAGTTGTATGTTCCATGGGATAGGTGCATGAAAGTCAAGAATTTGCCACAGTGCAAATGCAGAGACCTCCAACACATTGTGAACCTTAGCCCCCTCTCATTCCAGGAGCTATAGCAAAAGTGCTCTCTTCATCTTCTGAATCCCTCAAAAGGATTCTCAATCTTTCTGCTAACTTGTAAATGCTGCTGTTTCCATGCAAAAGTAGCAGCATATTTCTGTATAAATGGTATGCAGTGTGGTCTAATTACAGAGCAAGTGCACAATGAAATATAATGCTACAGTTTAAAATAGCAATGACCGTGGGCTGGATCCTTATCTGCAGGGTGTGTATGTGTAAATACAGAGTTCAAATAGCCTACCTTTAAAAATCCTGTTGATGGTAATGGGTTTATCTCCATGGATGGAGCCTTTCCCGCCTTCCAGACTGAATCCTAAGCCAGCCGGTGTCTTTTCCAGAGTTACCGTGAGGACTGTGTCTTCAGTTGCTGGAAAGGAATCGAATGGTATCAGGAGGGGAACAGAGCAAGGCTACTCAGCTTTGGAAGCCCCGGGGGCCACAGTGATACTTACTGCACATGCCGAGGGCCGCAACTTAATTGTGGTAGCAAATACATGCAAATATATATGCACAGGGCTTGACAATCTATGTGGCGAGTAGATTACATCCCGGAAGAGCCGGGTTCAGGCGATCTGCACATGCGCAGAATGCCGGACAGCGTGGCTGGCGAGTGGGGCTCGCCGTGGCTCAGCGAGCCCTCTATATGCAAATAGATTCTTTCATACTAACGGGCATGAATAGAAAGATTAAGGCAAGACTACACAACACACAGGCCCCATTTAAGTCAGTTCCGCTGATACTAATAAAATGCAATATTTACCCAATTTCCACCCATATGACAGCACTTTTAATGAGCAATGACAGTCCAGGAATTTAACTACTAAAATGTATATCAACAGAAGATCATTATATTGACGACTTTTTTGTTTTGGCTCCCTCCCACGGGTCACATGTTGAGTAGCCCTGGTATGGGGTATTCTGAAAAGTGAAAACATCTGTTCAAAGAATGAGTTTTTCTTTGTTTAGTTTTGTGTTGGCAGGTGGAGGCAAAATAAGGCAGAAAATGACCATTTTTTTGCTCACTATAAAGTTGTTGATTCTACTACAGAAAGTTACTGGGAGTAGAGGGGAAATATAATTTTAGTGTATTGAACGCTGAGCTGAATGAAAAGGTTGGATTTAATATAAACGGCATTTGCTTGACTAACATAAAATGCTAGACACATATATATTCCTGGCTACGATATATATTCCAAAATTAAGAGATCAGTACAAGTGACCTGATGGTAATATTAAAACTAATATTAACTAAACAGCCAGTAATGTTCATTTGGGATATGAAAATATGATTACAAAGCTCTGACTTCTGAAAATACTTCTAAGAATGAAGATGATTCTTCAAATCTGTGTCTCCTCCCTGGGCCTTGAATATAGCCAGCTGGTTTCTGGAGGCCAAAGTATGATTTCGGTAATCTGGAGAAAATATCCTTTCAAATAAATATTTTTCATAACACAGAAACTTGATGGGGGGGTTGAAATAAAAGTTCATTACAACTCACGACTAGTCATTATATATGTAGGTAGTCCGACTAAATATGCTTGACATTATCTTCAGAGTTTTCTTGACGTTATCTTGATGTTTTCAGAGTTCCATTTTGAGGCTGAGCAGAGGGACACTATACTCATAGTCACCACAGGGGGGCAGCCAGTGCACAGGACACTATATTGCAGAGTGACCACTGAGGACATATGTACAACCAAGGGAACGGCCAGCTGGGAACGGGGCTCACCATCTTACCTGCCACTGGCCCAGGTAAGCGGCCCTCCTTCCCCAAAACTCAGCCCCCCTGCCGTGGGCCCCTGTGCTGGACCAGGGAAAAGGGGAAAGCCCTGCCAGCCCCACTTCTGCCAGCTCCACCAGGAGCTTTGCTGGGGCTGGGTAGCACAGCCCTTGTCCTTGTTGCAAGAGCCACATGAGGCTGGGCCCAAGGAGTGCTGCAAGAGGCATCTGTGGCCTACCCCTGGAGTGGACCCAAGTAATGTTGGGGTAAGTCTTCTAGTTATACATACACTCAGAATCTTGATCCTGCAGATACATTTTGCAGGACTGGGGTTCCAGACAGCAGAGAGCACTATCAATGAGATAACAGGTCATTTAAAGCCTACTTCCTGGATTTTAAAATAATTGTACAACTTCTAATCACAACTCCAAGATGTATCTAGTTAAGTCGCATGCAACCCTTTGTAAAGGGCAAGGATTCTACAGTGGTGAGAACAGGGAGATATATAAATACCTATATTGATAGCGGATGTGGTTTAATGCAGCTGTAAAATACTTACAGGCTTCTGTGGAGGTTTCACTTTCTGTAGAATAAGTAGTGGAGTCAAGTGAAACATTAAAACTTTTTTCTTCCTCTGTAGCTTTTTTAGTCACTACGACAGCTTGTCTTGGCTGTCGGGCTTGGCGCATGATCACCAAGGCATCGTTGTGAGTGGCACCTTTAAGAGACTTTCCATTAATGGATAAAACTTCATCTCCTTTCTGGATGGTTCCTTCCTGAGATGCTAGTCCATTAGGAAATACTCTGTGAACCTAGTAGAGCCCCAACCACCACAAAAAGAGAAGACGTTACTAAATTTTACAGTTAGTGAGAATTTTTAATTTCTTAGCAAGCAAGCAAGCTTATATTTAAGCATCATGAATTGTAATTATTGTATCAGAAGCTTATTAAAATAAGGAAAAACTGGATAGCTTGTAGCTGGTACCAACTTTTGCTATCAGTATCAGATTCCAGAGAGTGTAACCAGGTCAGTCTTCTTGTCCTGAATTTGCACCACTGACTTAAAAAAAAAAAATAGAGAGATGGACGGTGGGAGAGAATCAGAAGTTTGAAAAGAGGAATTTGGTTATTTAGTAAACTACCATCTTCCTCTGAATCCAGACTCAATCCATGCTGGAGTAGGTATTGTGTTCCTGAATGTGCTATCTTTTAGATGAGATACAAAAAAACGGAGGCCCTGATCACTACTGACAATAATCATTCCATTGCACTTCAAATCAGCATGTGAATCACAGGGTTCTGACAACATTCCATTCCAATTTTCTAATTATCTCCTTCCACCGTTTCCCATTTAGATATCAATATTCTTTTCCATTCCCTGCCCTATGCTGTTTTGTAAGATTGCTGGGTACTGCTAGGATGCATCTACACTGCTCTCGAAAATCAAAATAAGATACAGTTTGCGCTATGCAAATTGAGTAGCTTATTTCGAAATAACTTTTTTCATCATTTGGCGCTCTTTACACAGCGCCAAATTTCAAAATACAGCACTATTTTGAGCCATCTCTTACTCCTTATACAGTGAGGTTTACAGATATGGTGAAATAGCATGTCTGCTATATTTCAAAATAGCGGACACGTTCAACAAACTTGGGTAGCTATTTTGGGATACTTCTGGTATCCCAAAATAATTTTGCTGAGTAGACATACCCTTAAAGTGCTACATTTTTTTAAAAAAAGGGAATTTCTGAAAAATTGAAGTGGCAAAATGAATTCCATTTTTCTTGTTGTCACTTAAACTTTTTCAACATTCAAAAAGTTACACAGTAGGAAAAGGAAAAGGAAAACATGGGGGGAATTGGGGAAACCTAGATATTGGTTGGCTTGTGCCAAAAAAAGAAAACCCAAAAATCTGGGGGGAGGGGAATGAAAACAAAAATGAAATGAATTTTGTTTCAAAATTTTCATTTTTTTTCCTGTAGAAAATATTCATTTTTGATGAAACCCCATTTTCTGTAAAGAACATTTATCAGCTGAAACTACATTGGCCAGCTCTAATTTTCTAATATTTTCTTATGTATAGAAAATTATCATTCTCACCATATTATTATGTTCTCTAGCCTTGAACTTGTCAAGTGGTTTTAACCTATCCTCATAGGCCTTCATTTTTATACCTTTTCCATTTTTTTGAAGTGCTCTTCTCAACTCATTCCATTTTTTTGCCACCTCTTTTTTAGACTGAGTGCTTTTTTTGGTAGCATTTTATGAGAATAATGTTACTTACAGTAACAACTTTGTTTTCTAGATCGATTCCTCCTGCCAAGCTGAATCCAAGACCAGCATCTTCTTCTTTATGTAAAATTGTAACTTGAATATCATCAAATTGCTAAACACACACACAAAAAAAATTCACATATATCCCATTATAATTCAAGATTACTAAAATAACTGTATATTTTTTCCTGTAACTACTGTGTATTCTGTCATGGCACGTAGACGGCTAAGACAAACTCTGTATTTGTTTTTATTCAATGGGCTGAGTTCACCTTGTTAACATCTACTATCTGAGAGAGTTTGTGTGTCTGTTCAAGAATTACTAAACGGTAAGGGCTAGGAACGCAAAATTTGGTATGCAGCTTCCTCTTATCATAACTTAAATCCAGGTGAGTGTTTGGGTGTGCCAGGAAAACAGGATGTTTCTAGAATGGGATTTCTTCTCATAAAACCATACAAAAAAGAGAAAGAATCACCAGTCTGGCTGGAGGCATGCCTGCCCATCCGGGACTGCCTCAGCCCTGACTCTCTCACCCCACAGGGGCCCGTTAAGGAGGGTGGGGTGGCCAGAGCTCCCCCGCCCTGGATTTATATGGGAACATTGCTGGCTGTTCCTCTTAATCAAGAAGTGAGGGGAAAGTGCACAGTTTGCTGCATTTCTCACTCTGATGGGAATTTTGGGGCCAGATGAACCAGTCTCTCAGCTGTGCCCTCTGAAGCAGCAGTGGCCATGGAGAGGGGCTTCTCACGTAGGCCCAAGATGAACTCCTCATCCCAACCCCACCTCAGAGCAATGATTCAAATGAAGCACGTATATTTTCATTTTATTTTCCAAAAGCCAAATATTACTTGAATTAAGGACCCAAGTAATGTTGGGTAAATCTTCTAGTGTCTTATAAATGAGTTACTGTCTAAAAGTTCCACTGCTTCAGTGAATGTGCTGTAAATTACAGTATATGAGAGACCACTGATCACTACTGAAATAGAGAGAGACAATATTATTGATTCAACAGTGAAAATTATGTGGAGAGTCTTCTAACTGTGAGAGGGAAAAACTTCTGTTATCTACAACTCATCTTAACTACTCAATGAAAGATTCCAAAATTCCTTCTAAACCTGGTTATTTTTAGTGTCTATTTTGTTAAAGTTTTAATGATAACAATAGCTTGGAATGAGCTGTATCAGTCTGTGTTACCCTTTTAGATTACAGTTATGAGGAGGGGAGATTCTCTCTCTCTCTCTCTCTCTTTTTTTTAACATACAACAGTGTTCTTAAGGATTCCAGTATAAATCACAGGTTCTCAGACTATTTGGAGAATAGTGTGTATGGAAATGTGGACGTACCTTCAAGGTAGCCTCATCTAGTGATTTTACTTCTTCTATAAGCTTCTTCAATTCTTCAGGGGAAAGCAGAGAGATGACTGACTGCCCAGATACACCAGATGCTTGAGATGAGCAGGGTTCCAGTTTCTCTTCCTCTTTCCCGCTGTCTGTTAAACTCGCTGTATAGTCTCTCAGTTCAGAGAGGCTTTCCCAGTTTGAAAAGGGAAAAGGGAAACATTAATTAGTAATAGCAGCTTCCACACCATTGCACAGTGCAGACCATTCTGGAATCTTCAGCTTTTGGACCATACTAGAGTGTAAATGTCAATGGGCCATGAGGTTCAGTTCTCTATTGATCCCAGTAGTGCCTACAATGTACGGTGCAACATATCAGGAGGTGCCTCTATGATAACACTCTTGTGTGAGCAGGCATATCAAAGAATAAGAACCATCTTGAAACTTTGCTCCAACTCAAATTGATGCCTGAACATTGGAAAAGGTTTAGAAACTTTTTTTTTCTTTTTTAAATGTGATTCTGGACTTCCCAAATAAACCTAGGATTGGGAACAGATAGCAAAAGTGCCATGCTTTTGTAAATAGACTAGACTCTTGTGAGAGAGATTGTTTTCACTGTTTCAAATCTGAACTATGAAATACTCATCCCCAGGCCTGCTAATGGGACTTGGAGGGGGCCAAGGGGGCCTTTTAAATTGCTGCCTGAGCATTGCATGATGCGCTTGGGTGGCTCTCAGAGCTGGCAGAGGACCGGGGGGTCTAGTGTAGCATGCTCCAAGTGACACTGAAGACTGACTTCCCCACCCGTTCTGCTTGAGGTCCCCCCCCCCATTTCCAGGAGTGTGGAACTGTCCCCCCTTGCCTTGGGTCCTAGCAAATCTGTCGGCCCTCCTGCCCATCCCAATTTTGCAGTTACAAGAGATTCAGATAAAGTATCTGAAAGTGCAGGTGCTTATCCAAACCATAAGCCTAAAGCCCATGAAATTAATTAATTACAAACAACCTTTGCAAAAGCTGTTAAGCACATAGCCTCCCCCTCTTCTCTTAATAACACTGTCATATCAAACTAGTAGCACAGAGGGCATGTCTGCAAACCAGAGATGAGACTAATTTTTTTCCATAAAATATTTTGAAGTACATAGTTGGAATACCCTTAGAGAATGCTCTGGGGCAAGGTTGTAGGTTCATGTCCTGCTTTTAAAATAACTTCCCCAAAATTTTAACTTCTAGTTATTTAACTTTTTTTCCAGATTCTTCAAGTGGTTTGACATTTATAAAATACTGTGGAAAAAATGATTATTAAAAAAAAATCTAACGTTGATAACCTGAGCAGGGCAAACCCTTATAAGAAGAAAGACCCTCTGGGGAGGTGCAGGGAATTGTCTTGAGGAAGTTGGCATGCCATGTTGGCTGTGTTATCTGGTATAGCAGAAATTAGACCTTCTCCTTCACCGACCCTAAAAGACCATCAGTGTAGCACTGCACTAACATAACAGCAGAATTTGGCCTAAAATGTTGGGAAATGGGTGACCCTGAAAAAGGAGATGGACTTACTCTCCAAACTACCCCAATATTGGGATTCTTCTGGCTCCAAGCCATGAAGAACCCATGGATACTGTGGCTTGAAGGAGCTGGCAGTATAAAAGCCTACAAATCTGTTTGATCAATGGCAGTGTGCATTTGACTGATCCTTTCCATTCCTCTGAGGAGTTGCTAACTCCGTCGACACTTCAAGCAACTATACTCCTATCTAAATTGCCTGAGGTACGGATGAATTGCTTTGTGCAGTGGGTGGGGAGAGGGAGGAGCTAGTCTATTTACCAGCACGGCTTTTCAAAAATGAACTTTAATAAGGTATCTTACTTAAGAGAAAATCCAGTGTCTGAATGATGACTCTCACTCGCAGGTGAGTGAGGGGCTCCATTCTCTTCCGTGGAGGACTGAGGTGATGCTTCCACAGTGCTCCATGGATTGTTCCCAGAAATGATCGGTGACTGAGGAAGGCAAAGCAAAGATTTCATTAAAGCAGAGGACACTTGACTGCTGATGGAATAGATTTTGCTGTATTTTTCATCATGTGTCTTCATTTCACAAGACTGGCTAGCAGTAAGGGGGAAGCTTCGTGTTCTTTGGCTCTGAGCTTTTGCTACTGGGCAGTGAAGTTCTGTGGCTTGCGAAGGTAATAAGTCCAAGGAAATTTCAGTACTTGTGCTGTTGCTTCTCTTTGGACTAGGAGCAAGTGCCTCTGTGGGAGAGCAGGATCTGTCCAGGCTCTGTGTCTTTGAAACCACAGCTGGAGTTGATTGTAGTTGTCTGTTATCAGAACCTTGATTATAAGCGGCTTGGTTTGAATTAACTGCAGGTGATTCTGGCTCTTTTGGGCTGGGAGAGCTTTCCTTCCGGAATGATGACTGTGGGCTGGGAGAGCTTTCCTTCCAGAATGAGGACTGTGGGTTGGGAGAATTTTCTTTCCGGAATGATGGCTTTGGGCTGGGAGAGCTTTCCTTCCAGAATGAGGACTGTGGGCTGGGAGAATTTTCTTTCTGGAATGATGGCTTTGGGCTAGTTTTTCTGTTTCCTTTTTCAGGAGACTGAGGAGCACTGAAAGTTTCAAATGAGTTTATTCTCTGCTTTATTGATGATCCTCTGGGTGAGGCCCGTGATAAACTGGAGCCCCATTCTTTGCCAGAAGGACTCGGGGGGTCAGTGGAACTTTGATCTGCCCGTGTGCTGATAAGTGAATTTCCTTTCTTCAAACCTTTGAGGCTTTGGCGGAACCAGGCTGGTTTAGGTGCTACTGGAGGGCCCTTTTTCCCCATGTCACTTTCATCTGATTTGTGTGCTTTTGAAGCATCTGTTTCTGCTTCTGATGTCTGCAGCACCACTTCCGGACAGCTGGGACCTCCATTTTCTTCGTTTGCGTTGATGTTGGGGTCCAACTCTAAGTGACTGCTTTCTCCACTCATCGTAGGATTAAACAAGCTTTTGATGCAATCAGAAATTCTCACCCAGGGGTCTTCTGCTGGAGTATCAAGACTGTAATCTACCCGTGCTTGTCTTCTAAGAACAGGCCTTTGTACTGATGAGAGAGGATTCCCTGTGTTGTGGAAACAATTATTGTACATAAGCTTTCTTTTCATTCTCTCCACATATTCCTTTGTATGCATCACTGATGCTTCACTGCCTGGGGGCTTCTCTACATTCAAGCCTGCAACAATCCTCGCAGGCTGAATCAAGGCATGTTGCGTGCCACATCAGGCCAGCGGGACTTTGCCTGGTAGGGCAGAGGGAAGTGGCTCTGCACACTGCCGTTCTTCCTCCCCCTGGCTGGGGGACCAGCAATGCAGGGAAACTAACACAGAGAAGATCTGCCACTATGTTTGCTTGCAGGCTCTGCCCCTCAGTCCCACTGGACAAAAGTGACAGGGGGAGATGCCTGCAGACACAGGGCAGTGCAGAGTCACCTGTGTCCACCTGGGAGCTGCACTAGCTAGTTGCCCCAATTCGCTGTCCCCTCCCACTCAGACCCCGCATCCCAGCCCATTCCTGCACCTTACCTCCTGCCTAGACCCATATGCTACGTCCAGCCCGCTCCTGCACCCTTGCTCCCGCCCATACCCCTCACTCATTTTTGGCTCTACCCCAGAGATGGGGGCCCCCACAAAATCTACTAGCCCAGGGCCCCCAAAAGAGTTGATCCAGTCCTCAAGGTAAACCCAAGCCCTAAGCCTTGCCCCCCTCCTTAACCCAAGGTGAAGAAGTTGAGTGTCTGTCTCTCTTTTTTTCTTCTGCTTCTCAGTTGGGAGTCTCGTCTATGAAGGTTTTTTCCTCTCTTTCTTGGGGCCTTTTGATGTGTGTGGATTTTGTGTGTGTGTGTGTGTGTCTGACATGTGTGGCTCCTGACTGATTTTTTTTTTTTGTGGGTCAGTGGCCCCCGGCCCCAAAAACACTCCCCACCCCTGCTCTATAGGTAACCCTCCCCCCGATATACTGGGCCACTGAAATCGTGCAAGCTACAGCACTGTCATGTGAAAATATGACTAAATTTATGTTGACTCAATTAGAGCAGATTGAAGTAGCGGGTATCACAGCAAATACAAAAAGTAATTCTTCCCTTTCTGCCTTTGAAAGCATGTTCTTTAAATATTATCACTCATAGAGACCTCTGTTTAATTGATGGGTCTACAAACATGTCTCTCCAAATGTCTGTGCACTTCTCTAGTGCATACAATTTTTTCTGTGATGTAGGGTGTTTTGTGTCTCATGGACTTGTTAAATCTCTTCCTGACTTTATGTGCAGACAGGACTGTGGAGACACAAGATTTGGGTTGTTTTTAATAATTTCCTTCAGTATAATGAAACAAATAGCTACACAGGAAATGTTGCCATTTTAAATACTACTAGCTGGCATTTCATTTAATTTCACTCACAGAATCAACATTTTATCCACTTTGTGTCAACTGTCTACATTACACGCTGTTCAGTTTTGAAACTATAAATAAAAAATGTCCTGTGGTACATACTAAAAATAAAATTCACTTACACTTACTTTATTTATTTGCTTATATTAAAACTATCTTCTGAAAACAAGTAGTGATTCTATGTATGCCTGTTACCACTTATTCTGTTTAATAACAGACAGTCCATTCAGCTTTTTTGTGTAGTTCACACTGTGACTCAGAGGAAGTTAATGTAGAAGTGTGTTCAGCCAGTAATTTATCATTTTGCTGCAGTCTGTTTTTTTTTTTAAGATGGAATTGGAATGAATGCAAAACTTATTAACCCTGCTAAATATTTTAGTCATCACAGTTGCTTTTGAAACAAACGGAATGAAGCACATACCTGGATTTGCTTTCCTTTCTTGGTCTCTGTTTGCTGCCACTACAACTGAGTGTTCAGTACCTCTTGATGTTATAGAAGTTGCAGAGAGACTGTGGGTTATAACTGTTTTATTTCCCTGTAGCAGCAGGTCTCCTTCCTGTGGAATAAACAGGAAATAGAACCATGTCAAAACGAAATTGCACAAACCACATTATATATGAGCATGTAGAAAAATGCTCTTCATTTTCTTGTTTTTAATCAGAGACTAAAAATATTAATCAGCAATAAAACGTGATTTGTTCTCTGCTTCAGGAAGGGGGGCAAGATATTTTATGTATGTATGTAAATACATCAGAAAAAAATGTTAACATCTCAAATTTTGATGGACTGTGTGTGCTGGGTACCACAACAAAGCAAGATATTGGCTGCTACAATTTGACACTTCTAAAACCAACCACACAATAAACTTTTGCAAATCAGTTAAGTAAAACCAGAAAATGAACTATCTAGCTAGTGCTTTTATTTTACACAGTGCTTTTCTTTGTGGCTCCTTTACCCCAAAACACAAAATTATGATGGCTGGAACTTCAAGACCAAAATTTCCCCCCTTTATTTTTAGTTGGAAATGCAGAATGAGAAGTTTTGTTTGAGGCCACAGTAGATACTATTGGAGGCAGTCATTAGCAGATGCTCTACAATTACTAGATTACTCTGTAACTAATGGCACAAAGTTACCATCTGTTCTGCTGGGAGCTCCTCCAGAGTAAAAACTGAACTGCAAACTGCTGAGTTCCAGTGTTACGGGAACCATAAATGGGAGAAATTTTGAAACAAAAGTGAAGGTATCCTATAAAAATCCGACTACAGTAAAACTCCACTAGTCCGGCATCCAATTGTACAGTACTCCCGATAGTTCGGCATCAAAATGGCAAGAGCCTAGTGAGTGAGCCTCGGCAAAAAATGAGTCACAAGGCAGCAGCTGAACCGAGCGAAACCAGATGGGACCGAGTGAGTCTGCCACTGGCATTGTGCCACGCTGGACTGTGCTTGTGCTACAAAAAAAAAGGGTTAAAAACTCTTTATATACAGTATATACTGTGTGTGTATATATATAACCAGCTTATAGTACCTCCTGATAGTCCAGCATATCCGATAATAGGTCCCAAAGGTTCCGGATTATTGGCAGTCTGCTGTATTTGGCAACTTGAGCATTCTGACAGTAGTGGGGTTTGCACTTACTCCTCACTATTCCAGTAAAGTGGGGGAGGGGAGCCTCAGGCCTGAGGGCCAGATGCAGCCCCCAGATTGCTTTGATCTGGCCCCTGAGGCTTAGGGCTTCCCCCTAGCACTGGGGAGCCTGCGCTCGCACTCTAGCCCACCCCCATCCCCTGCCACCTACCACGGGGTTGGAGCACACACAATTTACTAGCGTAGGCCCCCCTAGGCTCTGGTGTGCAAGGGGAATGTGGGAAGTGTCTTTCTCCTCCGTTGGGGACCATGTCAATGAGGGGTTTTTTGTCTTCTCACTTGTATGTGGCCCCCAACTGATTTTTTCCGTGGCGCTATGGCCCCCGATCCAAAAAGGGTTCCCCACCCCTGCAGTAAAGAGTTTACCTCTGTCAAGTTCCTGATCATCGCTGGCCGTGGTCGTCTCAATCTGGGCTGATTTTCTAATCACCTTCTGGATGGCAGCAGTTTGTGTTCAGTCATCAAGAATGACTTCTGTCTTTTTAATATGGTGTTACCCAGACCCGCATGTCATCAAGAGCTTAGCCATCACTTGAGACCACACGATAATCGTGCAAATAGTTAGAGTAATAATGAATTATTTTCATAGGGGCAGAAAGTAAATTTTATCCTGATTCAAATTCATTTTAAGCATTACAATGCAACTAGCTTTGCATCTTTCTTCCAGTTAGGAGCCTGATCTCAGTTGAAATGAAATAGGAATTTTGGATGTGCAAGGAACACATGATCAGATCCAACTGTGTGCTCCTGACTGTTAGGGACTGTACCAATTTGCGTACTGACATAGAGCTGTGTACACTGCTAGACTATATATATATATATATATTGTAACCTGTGTCTGTCTGTGTCTGAGAGTCCATTTGTTCAAAAACTCTGCCTAACCCGTAAGAGCTATGACCACCAAATTTGTTATGCATTTGCCTCTTACTCTAACTTAAACCGAGGTCAGGGTTTGGTTGTGCCTGGAAAATGAGAAGTGTCAGGAAAGGGACTGCAGATTGAACCTCTTTAGTCTAGAACTTTCTGGTCCAGAATCATCCGTCATCCAGAATAATTTTAGTTAGCCAGATGTCCACTTTTCATGAGTGTGGCCAAGTTTCCCAAGGTCCCATAAAGTTTGGGACCTATCTCTCAGAGTTCTGTGCTGTAATATAACTCTAATTTACCCATAAGTATACTCTAAGGGTGTGTCTAAACTACATCTCTCTATCGGCAGAGAGGTGTAAATTAGACACATCAAAATTGCTAATGAAGTGGGGATTTAAATATCCCATGCTTCATTAGCATAAAAATGGCAACCGTGTTTTTTGGCATGGAGCTTTGCTAAGAAAAAAGCAGCAGTCTAGAGGCTGATCTTTCAAAAAATATAGCCTTTTTTGAAAGATCCTGTAAATCTCATTGTAAGCTCCGTGCCGAAAAAAAGTGGTGGCCACTTTTATGCTAATGAAGTGCAGGATATTTAAAATAGAAAGATGACCAATTTACAAATTGCAAATTATTGCATGAAGCCTCTTTCGAAAGTAAATTGGAAAAAGATTTGCATTTTGCGTACTGCAAATTGCTTTTTTTTTCCAATTTAACATTGCAGCGTAGACCTAGACTAGCAGTTGTAATCTGTAAAATATTACAGTTTAAAGCACAGTCATAAATTTCAATTAAGTAATTTTTGGCTTGAAAAAAGCAAGTTTACAAATCTCCAAAAATGATACCGAAAACTATGGCCAGTACTTTTCAAATTGAGTAATATGACTTGTTTGAGGGATGAAGGAAAATAGAAGGACACTAATAAATCCTTGACTCAATTATCTTAAATACATTCTGAAAAGTAGAAATTTTCTCTTCCTTAAAGCCACCAGCCTAAGAGACATGAAGTCTTTCAAAGGAAGCTTTCTTTAACTGCACTAAACTTCCCTGAGTGCGTATTTATGTCAGGATTTCTTTTGTTTCCCTTATTACTGCAGAATCATAGTTGCAGCTTAATAAGCAAGAATTGCATTATTTCTGTGCTTGGAAAATTACTTGTTTTTAATGGGACCCCAATAAGCAGTTTTTTCTTGTCTTGTTTTCCCTAACAAGGCTGATTTTATAATAGCTGTTTATGTGAATGCATATATTTCTATTGCACTCCACAGAGGAGGTTAGGAGTTGTTATATTACTTGCTTTATGCTATACATTAATCAAGGCCTTTACTTTTGTGTAGGTTTATTTTCATTGTTAAGCCTCGAGCTGATGGTTGTTCAGTTTTATTTGTTTCACCTGGCACTAAATTCTGTTAATTTCTACTAGCCTATTACTAAACTCTGGGTTCCTTTTTTTAAACAAACCACAACTCAGTTTCCTCACACACAACACAGAACCATACACACTTATGCAAATGTACTTCTCTGTTTCTGGTTAATTCTTTTGGGGGAAGGCGAGATGGACATCTGATTGTATAAAATAATTCACTTAATTTTAAGACTACAAAAGAGCTAAGCTAATCAACAAGTAAGAGAGAGAGAGAGAGCACTCGAGAGAGTCCATGGTCCTTTTAACTATGTATTTAAAGCATTAAGGCCTTATCTAGGTCATTAGGGATTTGGGGCAAACTGTTCCCATTGCTACTAATACCAGTGCATTTCCTCCAGTGAGCATGCTAGGGCTGTTTCATAGTATTTTTCTTGTTTATTGAGGTCACTGTTCATTGAATGGCTTGGCTCTGTGAATTTGCTGTTGTAGAGTCAGGGAGATTGAGAATGGAAAGGTGGCATGCTCTGCCTTTTCTGGCCAGCAGCCCACTGCTGTTCCAGTCCCATTTGACCAGAGACTGCCAAATACTCTGAATTGTTTTGTACCGATGACATATGTTCACGTGGGGACTATCTCATTCATTCTCACTCCTGTCTGCATTTGTCCCTGCCTGTTATGCATTTGTCCTTTACTTCTGGAAAACATACATTTCAGCACTCCTCTGCCAAACAACCCTCGTTTGGGAGGGAGGGGGTTCAGTTTAGGACTCAGATTCAAATTTCACTAAACAGATAACATATCAGTTTACCTTCTGAATATCAGAACATTTTAAAAGGTGAAAAAGCCTCACTGGTTTTCCTAAAACCTTTGAGGACTATGCAGGGTTTGTCTTACCTGAACATTGGCAGAAGATGGGCTCCCATCATCCTGTAGCATAGACTTCTCTTTCATGTCTGTGTTACACTGGTCAGTGTCTGTGCAGTCTTGTTTAAAATACTTCCTGGGTGGAGGTTTGGGCTTTGATGATTTAGGTTTTCTAACAAGAATCTCTGAAGATCTTTTTACATTCTGAGAGGGATGGTCTGCTTCGTGGCCAGTGGGAGAGGAATGGTTCTCCAAACTGGTTCCAGGCAATGAATCCAGCAAGCCAGGCTTTCTGCTAATTGGTACGTCGACACTGTGTACTTTTGCCTTCAAGTCAGCAAGCTGGTATGTGGTGCCATTATTGCACGTTGACCTGGTGTTGTAACTGCTGTCGCTGCTGGAACGGGTCATTAATTTCTGAGCTCTGTGGTTGCAAGAAGCAGTTGTCTTCTCAATGTGTTTTTCATGCTGGTATCTGCCATGCCAGCTAGTTTCCAGTCTTTTAAAACCTGTATCAGCAACATGACTAAAATATATAAAATGCAGCATATACCTTAATGGAAATAGATCTATTCAAAGCATTTACTTCTATGGTTGTTCAATTAGATCCACTATAGAACTAAGCGCTCTGATCAGTGTACCACAGCGAAAGGGGGGGAAAGCATTTGTAGATCAAGGAATCCTTATTTGTTAGGCACAAACAGAACTACCAGTATACACTGTTCTCCTCTATAGTTTATTGGTGGTTCAATCTATTACCCTCACCCCATTTGAGAAAGAAAGGAGAGGCAAAATGACGCTCATATAATAATGCACTGTCATAATAAGCAGGGCCGGCTTTAGGAAGTGCAGGGCCCGATTTGTGGGGGGCAGGGCTGTGCATGCACCACGCACCTGGGAGCGGGGCCCTCTTAGGCGTGGGGTCCCTCTCTGAGGCGTGGGACCCGATTTGGGGGAATCGGCCTAAAACCGGCCCTGATCATAAGCACTTGGGGCCTCTCTCTGAGGTGCGGGACCCGATTTGGGGGAATCGGCCTAAAACTGGCCCTGATCATAAGCACTACAGTCTGGAACTTGGCAAGTAGCCCAAAGAGTAAGCTAATATGTTGTTGCCAAAAAGGCATCAGGGTTCTACGTGGGCCTACGAGACATTTTGTTTGTTGTTGCTAATGTGGAAGGTTGCCAGATTCCACTGGTTTCTGTCTGAGTTACTTTTTTCCTACAGGTATTACTAAAGTGACATGCATGTAAAGTGAAGTGAGATGCATGCTGATTGCACCCAACATGGACTGAGAGTCATGCGCTCCCTCGGAATCCAATCTAAGGTGCTGCTATGGCACAGCCTGCAAATTGTAAGTATGCAGCACGGTTAGTCTCTGGGAGAGGGTAGTTTTGCTATCTTGGTTACCACAATCTCATGGCTTATTAAGATGGGGGGCTACTCATGCAGCCCACTCACTAGCCTAAGTTGCCAGTTGCTGGGCTACGCTGCACCTGGGAACAAGCCTCCCAGTCTGAGAAGACAAACTCGTGTTAACAGGGCTCACGCTAGGATGCTAAAAATAGCAGTGTGGACATTGTGGCTCAGACAGAGACTCCGACTAACAATCCAAGCTCATCACCACTACACCCAGCCGAATCTTTGCCCAAGCTGCACTGTCCACAGCTCTGGCTTTAGTGTGCAAGCTCAAGCCCTCCTAACACACATTTGTCTATCTGAACTGGGGTGTAGACATACTGTTGGAGGTCAGCCAGATGTCTTGCACTTTTTACACCATTCTCTGGCAGTGTGTCTGAGAATGGATTTCAGTCGTATAGCTCTACTCTCTTTCCTCCTCCTTTCCCTTCTGCTCCAGGTTACTTGACTCATTTGGTATCTGAGTCAATGCTAAGTTATAATGTCTCAGCTAGCTGAATGAAGTCCCCTTACCTTCGGTATTCCATAGGTGCCTCTCCTTTCCAAATTTGTTGTTTTCCACAGCTTGTGCCACAGCTTCCTTTAGCTGCTGTTCGGATACCTACAAAATGTTGTGTCATTCTGGGTCTTGCAAAGCTCAGCAAAAGATTGGCTCATCACACAACTCCCCATTCTTGCAAACGCTTTCTCCCAAAAATAGCCCTTATGCAGGCAAGTAGTCTCAATGAAATTAATAGGCATAAGCTTGTGAGCAAGGATTGCATGCATGAGGTAGGGTTTAATTAGTAATATATGTTCAGTGCGGCTGAAGCCTCTGTATTGACAATCTAGATAAATGGAACATTTTTCAAGAATAAACGGAAGCTTAGCCATTGTACAAGATACATAAATCTGGGTTTGCCATTATAGGGTACAGGCTGAACCTCTCTAGTGCAGCACTCCCAGGACCTGACTGGTACTGAACTAGAGAATTTGTTGCACTCTTGGAGGTCAATAATGTCTAGCAGCATTATCAACACTTCCATTACTTATGGACTCTTAGAAGACATGTAGGGATTAATTAGAGCTAAATGGCAGCAAAGGACACTGAGAGCCAGGGCTAGTGGCTATAAATACACTTTTCTGGACCATGGAAAACTTGGCCACAACAATGATAAGTGGACATCTGATAACTAAAATCATGCTGGACCATCGATGTTGCCAGATCAGAGTGCCGGACTAGAGAGATTCAACCTGTATCTGGAGGGTGTGCTTTTTGTTGCTCAAATTAACCGTGTTAATAGTTAATAGACTACTAGAAAGCATTTTTAAAAGAAAATACCATAAGGATAAAATATTTCTTTCATATCACTCAATCTAATAGCAAGAATTGGCTGGGTAATATTATGCTGCCTTGTAATTACATTCAAGGAGAGCAGCTTAAAATCAATACTATCGAGTTTCACATTCTGTTCTTGATGTGCATTTCATCTTTCCCTGCTCATACTCCTCAATGAGAAGATTCTCTTGAATGAGTTTCAGATACTCTTGTTTTCTAAGAAGCATATGTTGCATATAATTGTTCCTGAAAACTTGTTTCTTTACTTTTTTTATTCAAATAGTTTCCCTGCTGATCTCGCACCTCATATTTCTCCATACATAAGACAGCTCACTATTTTGCATTTATATAGCTTGGGTTTGTACTTTATCCTATATCTTAGGTACAGTAAGAGTTACTGCATGTGTATCAGCAAGTTGTTATTTCTCAGACTGATTTATACTAGGGCTGTAAAGCAATAAAAAAAATTAATTGTAATGAACCATGCTGTTAAACAATAGAATACCACTTATTTAAATACTTTGGATAGTTTCTACCTTTTCAAATATATTAATTTCAATTAGAACACTGAATACAAAGTGCACAGTACTCACTTTATATTTATCTTTTATTATACATTTTTGCATTGTAAAAAAAAACAGTATCACGCTCCACATGTCATCCCTCTCAGGTTTTGGATGGCACTTGAAATTCTTAAATCTTGGGTTTAGTACTGTAGCTATTTTTAGAAATCTCACATTGGTACCTTCTTTGTATTTTGTCAAATCTGCTGTGAAAGTTTTAAAATGAACATGTGCTGAGTCATCATCTGCTGTCACATGAAATATAGGACAGCATGCAGGTAAAACAGAACAGGAGATGTACAATTCTCCCCCAAGGAGTTCAGTTACAAATTTAATTAACACATTATTCTTTTAAAAAGCATCAACATGGCAGCATGTCCTCTGAAATGGTGGCTGAAACATGAACGTTGACAAATGAACATTTAGCAACGCAAATACCTTGCAACACCGGCTACTAAAGTACCATCTGAACACCTGTTCTCACTATCAGGTGAGACTGTAAATAAGAAGTAGGCAGCATTATCCCCTGTAAATGTAAACAAACTTGTTTGTCCTTAGTTATTGGCTGAACAAGAAGTAGGATCAAGTGGACTTAAAGGAACTAAAAGTTTTACATTGTTTTGGTTTTGAGTGCAGTTATGTAACAAAAAAAAGTCTACATTTGTAATTTGCACTTCCACTATAGAGAGGATTCACTACAGTCATTTTATGAAGTGAACTGAAAGATACTATTTTTTATCATTTTTACAGTGCAAATATTGATAATCAAAACTATGAAGTGAGCACTCTACACATCATATTCCGTGTTCTAATAGAAATCAATATATTTGAAATTGTAGAAAAACCCTCCAAAATATCCAATACATTACAATTGATATTCTATTGTTTAACAATGCGAATAGTCAAGATTAATTGACAGCTGTAATTTATACCAGATTCTGCTACCAGTGTTAGTGTTAGTAGTTTCTTAATATTTGCTTTATTCGGAATCAGAATAATGTGGAATGCTACCTGTGGATCAGGGTGTCTGCTAATAATAATCTGCACAGCACCAGGACTGCAGTGACTTAGAAGAGCATAAACTTCATTAAGTGTCATATTTTGGACTGGCGCTTCATTAATTTCTATGATTTCATCTCCATACCTACAAAGGGATAAAAAGAAAAATCCAGCATGGGTGGCTGTAGACTTTCCATTGTTATTTCCAGTGCATTGTTCCATCATAACTGTGACCATGCAAAAAAAAAAATACATGCATGAGGTTGAGATTTATTATGGTCACGGATTACTTTAGTTTGTTTCACTGAGCCCCTAGGGCCCACCACTGGAAAGGGAATCAGCACTGGGATGTGAAGTTTCCTCATTGTTTGCAGTCTCCATGAACCTGAATTTTCTGCTGAATGCAGCTGGTAAGTGGAGAAGAGAGTGCAAAGGACCTATTTTCTGTTCTCATCCTGCAAACTCACTTCAGGGGTGGGTTTATTGTTGGTCCAGTCCTCAGTGTAGACAACAGCAGTCTGAAAGCTGGTGTCTAACTTACTGTTGTTTGCAGTGGTCCTCAGGAACTGTCCTGACAGCCAGGAAAAGCTACTGGCATGTAAGGATTCCCTAGCCATGCCTTTTAGTTCCTGGTTTCACTACTACATTGAGTGAGTGATTTTGGATGACTTTCCTTCACAGGGGGAATCTTCCAGTGCCAGATATGCTGCCTTGAGGGAAATTTGGCACTGGGAAAAAAGACACGCTTTTCTAATGGACCTCCATTATCTATATGTATTTGAAAGTTCCTTTTAATATTTAGCGTTTTTATAGGGCACTAGCAAACAGTTGCACATTCCGTAGTGCACATTTTGTATTATAAAGGTAGGACAGAAAATGACACAGAAGGCTGCCTTATTGAGTATCGCTTACACCCACGAGTTCCTTCCTGCCTATAACTTAGCATAACTTTGGGTCTGTGAAAAGCTTACTACTGAAAGAGCAGAAAGGACAGGAACAGTGCCTGAGATACAAAGTGGGTGAAGTAGGCAGGGCCAATCAGAGGGAGGGGGCAGGAGGCCCATTTGGCCTGGGCCTCATACTCAAACTGGGACTCAAATTTAGACACTTGTTAAGTTTTTGGCATTTGATAAGTTTCACAACTTATTTTTAGGCATATCCCTATCGGACCAAAATGTGACAAACTCTCTCAAGCTAGAAAAGCTTTTGTTACATAAAAAAACATTCAAATTCTCTCTTTTTTTTTTTTTGGTGCCTTATTTTGTTTTCATGTGTTGTCATTTTTAATTTTTATTATAATTAAGGGGCCTCAAAAGTTGGAAGTGGCCCGAGAGGCCCTGGAAGTAGGCCCAGTAAAGATATTACCTCACCCACTTGTCTAATATTCTCGGACCAACAATACTGCTGCATAATAGTGTCTGTCCTTTATTTTAAATGCAGAAGAGTAATTTATTAATAATGGGCACTTAGATACTAATTATTGTAAACTCAGTCCTCTGTTGAACGAGTCTTTCCTAATGACATTCAAACACCAAGTAGAGGGGAACTCTTGTGCCCTTTCTCTCCTCCTTCCCAAACATGTACATAGGAGCTAAGGGTTTCAAAGTTTCAGTCCAAGTGTTGCAGAACTTGTGGCATTTTCAGCTGAGTTTTCAGGTACATTCGGGGTGCAAAACGGGTGTTAAAACAAAAACTGTTTGAGTTCTGCACAAACACACATTGTATCAGGTGCTCCTAGTGTTGTCATCTGGTGATGCTGCTCTCAAATCCTATGGGATAAATTCCTGTTGTTGAAGATGGTCCATATGCAGCAAAGCCATATTTCTGTTATACAGTAGAACGTATGCAAGAGCGCTACAGTGCCACCCACACCTGGGCACACTCTGGGTGCACATAGGTACAGGGGAGTATTCTAAACAAGGTCATTCTTTCAGTGTATGTGGTTGCTTTTTGTGTCCGGGGAAGAATGGAGCAGGGCCAGTGGCTATGCAGCTCCTCTAATCATTTCTCCTGGAGAAAGGTGTCGAAGCAAAGGGAATAAACTGTCCCCAGAAATGTTTCCTTCTGTCAATTCCATCTAAGGGCCTATGTACTGCAAAGCCCATTTACTTGAACTTTATGTGGGCGAGGGCAACAGTTGGCCCCATGACAGACATTGTTCATATTTAAGCCACTCTTAGTTTGATCCTCAATTTTTTCATGCATCTCCCTTTGTTCTCAGTTCCTGTTTTCCTAGATTATAATCCCATTTCCTGCCAGCTGATACCCATTCCTGTATGTTGTGAACCTTAGCCTCCTACTTGGAGAGATGAGAGCTCCATCTGAGATAACTGTGTATCTGACAGGGGAATGAGAAACTTTCATTCTGAAAGTATCCCTCATAAAAAACATTCAACATACCTGAGCCTCCCATCCATATGAGCCACGGAGCCTGGTGAGAGGGTATGAATAAATATCCCTGAAATGCACTGGGAGTATGGGACACTGCACAAGCCAATTCCTAGGCCAACACCAGCTTCTGAAAAGGTTCATCAAAAAGATGCATAAGAAATGCGAGCACCAAAATAATCTGAGAATATAGTTTCTAAACCGTGTCCTCAAACATGCATGTGAAAAACAGAGCTCTTGGCAGCTATGCACTTTCCACGTGCAAATGCAGGTGTTTTGCATGTATAAGGGGGATGCCCCCAACTACTTTCTTCCACTATTTGATCTGAGGAAGTGGGTCTGGCCCACGAAAGCTCAACATCTAATAAACCATCTTGTTAATCTTTAAAGTGCTACATTGTCCTGCATTTTGCCCCTTTAAAACTGTAATTCCCACATTTAGAGTTGGCATGTTGTAGATACGGTTCAATGAAAATTGGTTTTGCAAAGGCTCTGTCGTGCAAACCTTTAGATTTGTAAGAACTCTTCCTCTTTGCAGAGACAGCAGCCATTGAGTTGATATAGAGTTGATGCAAACTATTCAAGAGACCAGTTACACTTAATTACTTTTGTTCTTTGTTTTGGTGCATCCAGTATTCTTAACTTAGTCATTCTTTCAGTGTATGTGGTTGAGTTTTGAGTATGGGGAAAAAGCCAGCAGTTGTGGGGTAAGGATGTTAAATATTGATTAACTGAATAGTCAAGTAACCTCATGAATTCTAATTGGTTAGTCAGCTATTCTATACAGGAAACCCCCGCGTTACAATGGCCCGAGTTGTCAATCTCATGCTTCAGTGGAACAACAGGTAGAAATATGGATTGTGAAAGCCAAAAATGGATAGAGAGCTTGGCTGGATCTCTTGACAGGCATCAGCACTGATTCTAAATCAGTGAGTTGGAAAAAACCTGCAAGCAGGCGAGGAATTTGGATAAAGAGAAGAAAAACATGCAAAAAGTAAACAAGCCATCAGTTTGTTCCATGTATTCCTTGTTCAGGTTATTTTAGCACTTACCTTTGGTCAGGGAAACTTCCATTATAACTCTGTCATTGGGCTTGGAGGTGTTTAATAAGAGAGCAGCACCAGCTGAACTGAAAGAGCTGTTTTCCTTGGTTATCTTAGTGCTGGAGCTCAGAGACGGGCATAAGTGAGACGATAGGTAGTTAGAGGCAGAATAAGGGGTGTTAAGACTTGTCCTGACTGTCAGGGTGAGGAGACCCTTTTTGGCCTGCTAGAAAGAAAAAATGATGAGTGGACTGATATCACATGCACCTTGTGTGTAAAGGCAGAAATTGTGCTGTGAGGAGGGTGCGTAACCTTGAATTTTTGTAAAGCATCATAATGCGTTAATCCATGCATTGATTCTCCGTTCAGTTCCAGAATTTCATCCCCTGTTTTAAAAAGGAATAAACAAACTGCATTACTAATTGCTATTAGCCAAAAGTGTAAGACACAAATATTTAAGAATGATCATGCCTTGTGCAAATGCAGTAACACATGGAGATGAAAATATACCACATACAGCACTGCCTTCAGTGGGACCAGACAGGGCCCTTTCGCGACATTAGAAAGCTGCTATAAATGTTATGTACTCTAACTTAATATTTATAGATTGCATTTAAGGTTAGACTCCTCCCCAATACCGGAAATTATTCCAATTTTACACTTTTGATTTTACCAGCCTTTGCAGTTTTATCCTAACTAGTTGTTTTAGATTCATTCCACCCCACCCCCCACTTCATGAGAAGAGAATGAAAGGTTTCCATCTCTCAAATTTTCCCTTTGCCAAAATGGCTACCATCTACTATTACTGACAGGGCCAAAGCCAACAAGATAGGCTCTATCTAGCTAAACGTGGCAATAAAGCTGCCCTTAATGCAGTTGGCTGCCTTCTCCTGTTTTAAATGAGAGTAAGGCCATTCCAACAGGCAAAATGGCTACCAATTTATGGCTCAGGGAGCTAGACTGGACATATGGACTGCAGAGGGCAGCAGAGACACTGTGAAAAGTGGATGGGGGGGGGCAGGGACCAGGCCATTGGCAATAGCAGGAGGCAGATTTAGGTGGCCAGGATGATGTGGGGGTGCAGAGGACAGTGACAGGGTGGGAGATGGAGGGACTGAATGGCAGCTCCCCCAGCTTGAGGTAATGATGGGAGTCACCTCTGTGCAGCCAGGGGAAGGCAAGGTCACAGTGTTGCCAACTCTGATGAACTGATCTGTGCAACGGCCTTGGAGCTGAGGACACAGACCTGCCCTGTCACTGAGCCCTGCCTTCATGTGTAGCCTAAGGATGTTAAGTAGCGAGTAAATGACTAATCGTGTACGCGATACAATTTGTATTGACTACATGATTAGTCGATAAGGGGCCGCTGCAGCTCTGCAGTTTAAATGTAGTAGGAGCTGGGCATGCAAGTAGCCTGGCTACTACTACATTTGAACTACAGAGCTGCAACAGGAGTAGGTCTGGGACCCGGCCGCCTGGCTCTTACCACATTTAAAAGGCAAAGCCGGCTCCCCCCAGCACAGGCTACTTCTTCCTTTCCCCCTCCCCCCACTCTTGCTGTCTCTGATAAGCTTAGGATTATTGGGTAGTCAACTATTTGACTACTCTTTTACATCTCCAGTGTAACCTGGAGTAGTGTGTGTGGCCTAGGGGAGCAGGAGTTGGGGAAGTGGTGCTAGTAGTTCCTAGGTGAAGAAGTGTTGCTCTGGGGTCAGAGCAATAAGAGGAAACAGCTGGCCGTTCTCCTAGCTCAGTGGTCAGGATTGGGTAAGTGGCATCTGCATCTGAGCAGCCTGGGAGAGGCTTGCATTTCAGTGGTCACTAAAGGTTACCTTTCAGCCTGAAATTATCACAGGGGAAAAGGAGTCAACGAGAGTTTAAAAAGTCAAGATACACTAAACAAGATGATCTGATTTAAAAAAAAACACCCTCATGCCATTGGTAGTGTCTGTCTGATGATTTCTGCTCTCTTGATGGCAGCAATACTGAATTTGACAGGTGAATGTTGAAAATTCACTGAAAATGGGGGTTAAAGGGAAACAGCAAATGTATTTGATTTCCCACTCCAATTTCCTGCCTTGTTCTATTTATAATGTCTAAAAGAGTAGCTGAGTCACTAGCCTTTCTCCTGAGATAAACAAAGGAGCAATGCCAATGAGAATATAGACATTTGTCATTCAGGCAATGAAATTAAACTGCCATCTCATTTCTTAGTGGTCACCGAACAATGTTTAGGGAAAAACAACTTTCATTCATAGGCAATCTGAGCTAGAATTGACCCCTTTGTCACCAACCAACCTCACAAGCAATCTGATCCTCTTTTGTTATATATTTTAAACGTTTGATATTGTTTGTGTGCTAGTAACTTTTAAAACACCCGATCAAGCACGCTAAATATTTTTTCTTAGTAACCTCCTACCTTCTTGTAACCTTCCATCAGCCGCAGCAGCTCCACCTGGAAAGATGGTCTTAACGTAGATGCCAATGGGCCCATAAATGCTGTCCTTCCCTCCAACAATACTGAAGCCCAACCCCTAAATTATTAGAGAGAGAGAGAATGTTTATTTCTCATAATGGTTACATTGTTTTCCACATGGACAATAACAGTTAGCAGAATTGTTTGATGGACATTAACATTTTCATTACAATATTTAAAACAAAGGTGGATATAACAATCCCCAATTTAAATTTTCAGTTAAACACCTACATTCTTCTTTATAAAAGTCACAAGCAATTAGTTTGATACTATATATGTGCTGTAATAGTAACATGTAATGATTAGAACACAGGATTAAGTGCCATACTTCTGACACTGACATAATATGTGGCCTTGGGTGAGTTATTTATTAGGTCTATACTACTGGGAATGGTCAGCTTACGGTACGCAATTCCAGCTATGTAAATAATGTAGGCAGAGTTGATGTACCGTAAACCGAACTTCAGCGCCATTCCCGCAGCGGGAGGTCAAAGGGGAGAAACGCTCCCGTTGATTTCCCTTACTCTTTGCAACAGTGAGGAGTACCAGCGCCGACCAGGACACCCTCAGCATTTTTTACTAGACCTGCTAAATTGAACACCAGACATTCTAAGACTTACCTCTGGGGGAATTCTGCACCCCAGCCCACATGCAGAATTTGTGTCCCCCAGAATTGCCAGAGAGGCACTGAAGTTATGCCTTTTTTCCCCACCAGTGGCTGCTGTGGCACAAGAACAGAGGGCATTCAGCCATAATGATCAGCAGCCAATAGGGAAGACAAAAGGCTGTCTTTCTCATAGCACCCTATCTGTGGGGCCCAGTGAGGAGGGACAGAGCAGGGCAGATGGGAATGCTGGGGGGCCATATAGATGAGGATTCTGATGGGCTAGTTGGGAGGACAATCTGGAGCAGGGGCTGACTGGGAAGGGGGTGCAGAGCCCAAAAAATGGGCATGGCTGAGTGGGGGTGCAAAGACAATGGAGATGGGAGATGTGTGAGGGTGCAGGGCAGAGAATTGCTAAGTGGGAGTACAGAGACACATGGGGACAGGAGGAGGAAGATACAGGGCCACATGGGGATGGGGGCAGATGTGACTGACTAGATGGGAGAGGCTAGAGGTCAGACAGGATCTGCATGGAGTTGGCACCTTAACTCTCTAACAATCCCATCACACACACACACCTCAAAAAACTGTTCCATGCTTCTCCCACTCATATCCAACAACTCTCAAGTTTCAATCCTAGGCACCTTCCCAGCAATTACATCCCTCTCCTTTGGCCTCTGACTCTCCTCTGCCTTTGCACCGTTTTTAAGGGAAGGTGGGAAATACATTTCCATATTGTAGTTTAAATGACTTATTAATCTACATTCTGTATTAATATGCCTAGTAAGAAAATGATTTGTCAAGAAAAACATTCCTGGAATCTTTTTTGTTGGCTGAATTGTTACAGACACACTTGCTGATGGGTATTTTTTTAAATAAATGGCAATTGGTATGATTATATTGTATGTTTGGATAAATAAAATATGCAGCATTTTACAGAATTCTAAAATTCTGTGCACAGAATCTTTAACTTTTTTATGCAGAATTTCTCCACCTCCCCCTGGAGTAGAGACCTTACTTAATTAGTATTTGTGAACCAAAATTATTATTTGTAAATCAAGTAGAAATCCTTGGATAAAAAGTGCTATAGAAGTGCAAATTACCACTATAATACAGATGATGATGATAATTTATTTTATTGATCTCCAGGGAAGGATTTTCTAATAGTTGTCCCTACATCTGAAATAGACATTGTTATTTGAGAAAGAGATCTTTATTAGAGAATTTACAAACCTGGAAGGACTGTGTTTAATGTCTAGCTTCCCTATTTTATGCATCCCAAGTTGCAAATGAAAGTCAAACATAATCACAAATGCGAATACAAATATGTGGCCAGACAGAGAGCAAGAACTAGGGATGTCAACGTGTGGTCGACTATATGATTAAATGACTAACCTGGGCTTATCAGTTAATCTTGTCGACTACACACATTTTCCCTCCTCATTGCTGCCTCTGTATCAGAGGCATTGGGGGGGGGTGAGAGCAGGAGCCGGTGCCCATGGGGAACTGGCTTTAAACAGGCTCCCCATGAGCACTGGATCCACTTGCCCCCCACTCCCTAACCCCGCACTGCTACCTCTGATAGAAAGGCAGAAGCACAGAGGGTGAGGGGGCAGGCTGGAACTGATGTGCACAGGGAACCAATTTTCAAGGCAGCTACCCACGCATTTCAGATCCACAGACCTGCTGCCTGTTCTCCCCTTGCTGGCTCCTACTGAGGTGGGGTGGAGGGGATAAGCAGAAGCTGGTGCTGGGGGGAGCTGGCTTAAAAGCTGTTTCCCCCCATCACCGGCTCCGTGGTGCCTCCTGCCCACCCCCTGCAGCAGTGGGGGCAAGAGGGGCAGGGAGCAGGGGAAGCTATCACGAAGCAGCCCCTGTCTGTGGGGGGTTGGAGCTCCCCACAGACAGAGGCTGCTCCGCATCCCACGCTGCTGCCTCTGTCCATGAGAAGCTCGGCTTCCTGTGGATAGGGGCTGCTGCCATTCTGCACTGCTGCCTCTGAGACAGAGGCAGCAGTGCAGGGTGGCAGGCAGCTGGCCCACAAGGGAAGCTGGTTTTTATACTAGCTTCCCTTGCACTTCGGCTCTTCAAGGGGCGATACAGAGGCAGTAGTGTGGGGTGGCAGGTGGCTCCCTAGGAGTGGGGTCGGGAATGTATTGGCTGCTGGCCCCATCCCCAGGGACTATTAAATAGTCATGCAACTGATAATATTTTAGACGACTATTCAATTACACTATATCTAACATCCCTAACAAGAACACCCATTTTGGTGTTTTTATTTATAAGTCTGAGAGCAATTGCCTTCTCTCTGTATCACTAAATATGGCCTTTGTAAATCTAAGTTTTATTTTTATGCATGTGTACATCATTTTACTGAAGGTTACGTTTATATAACTATGCTTTACCACCAGCTGCATCTTGTGGCATTTCCTGGCTTAACAAATTATCAGAATGATCCATGCTGCAAGGCCCAGTTAAACCGGATGATATTAACAATCTGGGGAGATATTGCCATGGAGAACAAGTTCCAGCTACTGTGCACACATGCAATTACCATTAGCCTCAATGGCAGATATGCACGTGCACGGAAAGTGAGCCCTCACTTAGAGTACAGTCAGTGTGCTATGAAATCCTGCAAAATCCGAATCGAGCTGATGACAAATTGTGCTAACGATACAATCCTGCACAGTAATGAATTCCCTCATTTCCTGTTAAGTCAGCTGGGAGTAGAGAGCAATCAGCCCCTAATAGGATAGAGTTCAGCTTTAGTCTGGCTATGTGACTGTTTGCTGCTTGTGAAAGATGACTAATCTAAAGCTTCTGGAGGTTGCAGTCCTTTATTTACCTCCAGGTTAGACACAGCACAGGCAGTGCATTCTTCCCACACTGCCAGTCCACCACTGTGTCTCAGCTCTGACTTGGAGGGAGCACCTCTAGCAGGAAGTCTCCAGTCTCCAGACCCCATTCAGTCAGTGCCCCCTGTTTGTTCAGAAGGATACCGGTGAATGTCAGCTATAGCAGTGATTGTATGATAAGGACATGTATCTACTAGGAACTTGCCTGTGACCATCAACATACCATACGTACCACCAAAGAGGTGGCAGAAGATGGTGATTTTTAATCACTTGCTGGCCAGGTCTGAATTGGTACCAGCTACCCAGAAATGCAAGGCTTGCTGTCCCACATCCCACCTCCTTGCACCGTGCAGTGATGTGTATGTTTACACCTTGGAAGATGGCTAGTATTCTGTTACCATAAACATTCATGAATCTCTCACCTTCCCTTGGCCTTTCATCAAAACAATGTTTGATATTACGGAAGCTGGTGAGCCACAAGACGCATGTGTTAACTGAGCAGTGCTCAGCGATCTAGAAGGTTTTGAAACAGCCTGCAAAGAGAAAAATAGTTGTAATGCAATGCCAGGCACTTGTTGTGCAGAACAGATGAATGTGTAAAACTGGTCTGGGGGAGTACAGTCAAACTGGAACAACAGAGATCCCACAAGTGCTGGGTTTTTAAATGTCTGAATGATTTCAGATAGTTCTTGAATTTCAGAACCTGTAGCTTACAGAATTGGCTGAATCATAGCCTTTTTTTTTCAGGTGCATAGCATATTCAGCTAAAACTCTCAAGTCCTTATAGACTCTGGGGTTGATTCTGAATGCAGAACACATCAATGATTCAACCAGATTTACTCCTGATTTACATGGGGAGATCAGAATCTGGACTCTAAAAGTTCTCCCTGGCAGTATCAATTATTTGAATCATATTATTTGTGTTGGCAGTTAATATTCCCATGAGAAAATTATGTGTTTGTATATTTGGGTCATTGCAAGTACTGTTGTGTGAGGGCCAGAGTATAACACTGTCAAGAAGGACAATCCAGGGAACTACAGACTGGTCAGACTCACCACAGTCCCCAGAAAAATCATGGAGGGGATCCCCAAAGAATCCATTTTGAAGCACTTGGAAGAGGGGACAGTGATCAGGAATAGTCAACATGGATTCACCAAGGACAAGTCATTCCTGACCAACCTGATTGCTTCTGTGATGAGGTATCTTGCTCTGTGGACATGGGGAAGTCGGTGGATGTGATATACCTTAATTTTAGCAAAGCTTTTGATACAGTTTCCCACAATATTCTTGCCAGCAAGTTAAGGAAGTATGGATTGGATAAATGGACTGTAGGGTGGATAGAAAGCGGGCTAATTTGTTGGGCCCAATGGGTAGTGATCAATGGCTCAATGTCTGGTAGGAGGTCAGTTTCAAGTGGAGTGCCCCAAAGATTGGTTCTAGGGCTGGTTTTATCCAACATCTTTATTAATGTTCTGGATGAGGGGATGGATTACATGTTCAGCAAGTTTGCGGATGACACTAAGCTAGGGGGAGAGGTAGATATGTTGGAGGGTGGGGATAGGGTGCAGAGTGACCTAGACAAATTGGAGGATTGGGCAAAAAGAAACCTTATGAGGTTCAACAAGGACAAGTGCAGAGTCCTGCACTCGGGACAGAAGAATCCCAAGCATTTTACAGGCTGGGGACCAATTGGCTAAGAAGCAGTTCAGCAGAAAAAAGACCTGGGGATTACAGGAGATGAGAAGCTGGATATGAGTCAACAGTGTGCCCTTGTAGGCAAGAAGGCTAATGGCATATTAGGGTGCATTAGGAGGAGCATTTCCAGCAGATCTTGAGGCCTTATCTGTAGTACAGCATCTAATTCTGGGTCCAGCAGAGAGCAACAAACATATTTTCATAGACACACCTACTTTCCCTAGATGTTCAGAAGACAAAGATGCTTTGGCTGGTTTTGGCTTGCAACTCACTTTGAGTGCAGGAGGAATGAAATGCACTACAGTGCTTCTCATCCACTGTAATCCCCAGGTCCTTTTCTTCTGAACTGCTACTTAGCCATTCGGTCCCCAGCCTGAACACTGTATGAGTGAAGGGCAGCAGAACTGTACTTGGCATGCCTTGAGTGAGGATGTCACCCTAAACGGAACCTCACTTGCTAAGCAGGGGGTAAGGATGCCACATCCCACTGAAGATGAGGGGGTAGGAATAGGGATTCCTACCCAATGGTGAATACTCTGCCTTAAGAGTCCTAGACATCATTTGAGCCTCACCCATCCAATGCTTACAGACAGAGCTGATTGGACTCAACTGAGAGGCCTTGTTTCTGTTCAGTGATTTCTAGAGATGAAACCACCGAGGAGCAGAACTAGGAGTTAAACTTTGGACGTGGTGTGGGAACAGCGTTGCAGTGAAAGACAACAAAGAGGCAGCGGCCCAGAGGCTCCCTACCCCATGAAGTCACTAAGAGCCCAATTACGTTGGAGAACCCCAGAACATGGTAAGCAGCAATGGCAAAGATATTTGGCAAGAGTGAGCGGGCGGAGATAATGGCAACAGCAAACAGTGAGCGGTGGCAAAGATAGCAGGAGTAGCAGTAGGGAGCCAGCTGAAGAGGCAGCAGCAGCAGGTTGGGCATTGCTTGCTGCCTTGATGCCCTTCCCCTTTCAGAGGTGGTAGATGGACCCATGAGAATGTACCTCTGAACTCCATAGCTTTGCTAAGGACAAACAACTGTGAGTGGAGAGAGTTATATGTTGTACGGACGGTAGTTCATTTAAATTTCACACCACACAATGAGAAATTGAGGCAAAAGACATTGTCCAATATATGGAAAAGCGACGAGGAGTCCTGTGGCACCTTATAGACTAACTGAAGTGTAGGAGCATAAGCTTTCGTGGGCAAAGACCCACTTCGTCAGATGCATGTAGCTTATGCTCCTACACTTCAGTTAGTCTATAAGGAGCCACAGGACTCCTCATCGCCTTTGCAGATTCAGACTAACACGGCTACCCCTCTGATACTTGACTCCAATATATGGAAAAAGGATGTTTGTTTATGGCTATGTGGTTGCGGTTGTAGAGTTTTCCCCAATTAATGCTTGGTTCTCTTTCATTTTAATACAAGCTTTCTTTTGTTAGACACAGACTCAGTGCTTGGCAGTGGGGAGATATTGCCTCTTAGAGGAGTCTGGGGATGGTGTTTAGTTTTCCCAGATTTCTGGGTGGAGACTCAAGCCACTTCTATTTTGGATTGTTCAGGGGGATCTTGTTGTTGTCGATTCCAGCTGGCAGAAGGATTACAGGCATTATGAAGACTTCCTATCTGAACATTAGCACAAAGTTCATTTAAGTTCTGAATCAACTTCTTATCTAATGTTAAGCATGCATGAAGTTCAGCGGGGCCAGAAACACGTGCAGGGAAATTCTACAAATTTGTTTATGCAGTATTGTGAAACTAGCAGCTGCACGAGGCTTTAATGTATGGAACAGACATCAAGAATTCAACTTCCACATAGGTCAGGAAATGAGGGTTGATTAGAAAAGGAGAATAAGCTTATTCGTGCAGCACCATAGAGCATTAAGAATGTGACTATCAGAGAAATAGCTGTGCAATGCCAAAATATACTCAATAAAAGATACATCTCAGTAAAATGGGTTATACCTATGCTGTAGTCCATCTTCCCTTAGGGATCTGCAGGAGAAGGGCATTTGACACGGTCTCGCATGACCTTCTTATCAATAAAGTAGGGAAATACAACCTAGATGGGGCTCCTATAAGGTAGTTGCATAACTGGCTGGATAACCATTCTCAGGGTATGTCTACGCTGCCACCCTAGTTCGAACTAGGGTGGCTAATGTAGGCAATCGAAGTTGCAAATGAAGCCCGGGATTTAAATATCCCGGGCTTCATTTGCATCTTGCCGGGCGCCGCCATTTTTAAATCCCCATTAGTGCGGACTTCGTGCCCGCGGCTACACGCAGCATGGAGTAGGTAGTTCGAATTAGGCTTTCTAATTCGAACTACCATTACACCTCATTCCACAAGGAGTAACGGTAGTTCAGATTAGAGAGCCTAATTCGAACTACCTACTCCGTGTCGTGTGTAGCCACGGGCACGGAGTCCGCACTAACGGGGATTTAAAAATGGCGGCGACCGGCAAGATGCAAATGAAACCTGGGATATTTAAATCCCAGGCTTCATTTGCAACTTTGAATGACTACATTATCCACCCTAGTTCGAACTAGGGTGGTAGTGTAGACATACCCTGTTTTATTATTTAACCGGCTGAATGTTAAGTTTAACCAGATAACTGATTAAAGGGGAGCAGGCGGGATGGAATGGCGATCCCAGTACACAAGATTGCTGACACATCACTGGTGGAGAAGGAGATGGCTCAGGGTGGACACTGGCAGCTGGTTACTTCTGGCAGCAGACACTGCTCCACTCCTGCTCTGAGCCCTCCCAACATGGTACTAGGAAACCGTTATGCTCTTCTTGGGTGCCCATATGTCGCCCTGACATTTAATCTCGGGAGATATGCTGCCTGCCAGGGGCCCGTCAAAGATTATCCGGCCCTCTGACTACTACCCCATGCTACTCATCCATGTGGGCACTAATGATACTGCAAGATGTGACACTGAGCGGATCAAAAGTGTCTACAGGGCTCTGAGAGTACGGATGAAGGAGTTTGGAGTGCAGGTGGTATTCTCTTCGATCCTTCCTGTCGCAGGTAGGGGCCCGGGCAGAGACAGGTGTATCCTGGAGGTGAATGCCTGGCTGTGAAGATGGTGTCGCCAAGAGGGCTTTGGCTTCCTCGACCATGGGATGCTATTCCAGGAAGGACTGCTAGGCAGAGATGGTGTTCACCTTTCAAGGAGGGGGATGACCCTATTTGGACACAGACTGGCTAACCTAGTGAGGAGGGCTTTCAACTAGGTTCGACAGGGACAGGCGAGCAAAGTCCATGGGTAAGTGAAAACCATGGAGACCTGGGAGATGGGTCAGAAATGGGAGGGAGCATTTGTTATAATGGCAGAGAGAGAGGAGGGTCAGGGCAAAATGGGAGGCAAGATCAAATCAGTATCTTATATGCCTATATACAAATGCGAGAAGTATGGGTAATAAGCAGGAAGAACTGGAAGTGCTAATAAATAAATACAACTATGACATTGTTGGCATCACAGAAACTTGGTGCGATAATACACATGATTGGAATGTTGGGATGGAAAGGTACAGCTTGCTCAGGCAGGCTAGACAGGGAAAAAAGGGATGAAGAATTGCCTTATATATTAAAAATGTACACACTTGGACTGAGGTGGAGACAGACATGGGAGACAGAAGTGTTGAGAGTCTCTGGGCTAGGCTAAAAGGAGTAAAAAACAAGAGTGATGTCATGCTAGGAGTCTACTACAGGCCACCTACCCAGGTGGATGAGGCTTTTTTTAAACAACTAACAAAATCATCCAAAGCCCAAGATTTGGTGGTGATGGGGGACTTCAACTATTCAGATATATGTTGCGGAAATAACACAGTGGGGCACAGACTATCCAATAAGTTTTTGGATTGCATTGGTGACAACTTTTTATTTCAGAAGGTTGAAAAAGCTACTGGGGGGAAGCTGTTCTAGATTTGATTTTAACAAATGGGGAGGAACTGGTGAGAATTTGAAAGTGGAAGGCACTGATCCTTGAAATCATAGAGTTCACAAGTCTAAGGAAAGGTAGAAGTGAGAACAGCAAAATAGAGACAATGGATTTCAGGAAGATGGATTTTGGGAAGCTCAGAGAGCTGATAGGTAAGATCCCATGGGAATCAAGACTAAGTGGAAAAACAACTGAGGAAAGTTGGCAGTTTTTCAAAGGGACATTGTTAAGGGCCCAAAAGCAAGCTATTCCACTGTGTAGGAAAGATAGAAAATATGGTAAAAGACTACCTTGGCTTAACCACAAGATCTTGCATGATCTAAAAATAAAAAAGGAGTCATATAAAAAATGGAAACTAGGACAAATTACAAAGGACGAATATAGGCAAACAACACAGGAATGCAGGGGCAAGATTAGAAAGGCAAAGGCACAAAATGAGCTCAAACTAGCTAAAGGAATAAAGGGAAACAAAAAGACTTTTCATAAATACATTAGAAGCAAGAGGAAGACCAAGGACAGGGTAGGCCCACTGCTCAGTGAGGAGGGAGAAACAGTAACAGGAAACTTGGAAATGGCAGAGATGCTTAATGACTTCTTTGTTTCGGTCTTCACCGAGAAATCTGTAGGAATGCCTAACATAGTGAATGCTAGTGGGAAGGGGGTAGTTTTAGAAGGTAAAATAAAAAAAGAACAAGTCAAAAATTACCTAGAAAAGTTAGATGCCTGCAAGTCACCAGGGCCTGATGAAATGCATCCTAGAATAATCGAGGAGCTGATAGAGGAGGTATCTGAGCCTCTAGCTATCATCTTTGGAAAATCATTGGAGACAGGAGAGATTCCAGAAGACTGGAAAAAGGCAAATATAGTGCCCATCTATAAAAAGGGAACTAAGAACAACCCAGGAAACTACAGACCAGTTAGTTTAACTTCTGTACCAGGGAAGATAATGGAGCAAGTAATTAAGGAAATCATCTGCAAACATTTGAAAGGTGGTTAGGTGATAGGGAACAGCCAGCATGAATTTGTAAAGATCAAATCATGTCAAACCAATCTAATAGCTTTCTTTGATAGGATAACGAGTCTTGTGGATAAGGGAGAAGCGGTGGATGTGGTATACTTAGACTTTAGTAAGGCATTTGATATGGTCTCGCACGATATCCTTATCAATAAACCAGGCAAATACAACTTAAATGGGGCTGCTATAAGGTGAGTGCATAACTGGCTGGATAACTGTACTCAGAAAGTAGTTATTAATGGTTTTCTATCCTGCTGGAAAGGTATAACAAGTAGAGTTCCACAGGAGTCTGTTTTGGGATCGGCTCTCTTCAATATGTTCATCAACGATTTAGATATTGGCATAGAAAGTACGCTTATTAAGTTTGCAGATGATACCAAACTGGGAGGGGTTGCAACTGCTCTGGAGGATAGGGTCATAATTCAAAATGATCTGGACAAATTAGAGAAACGGTCTCAGGTAAACAGGATGAAGTTTCATAAAGACAAATGCAAAGTGCTCCACTTAGGAAGGAACAATCAGTTTCACACATACAGAATGGGAAGTGACTGTCTAGGAAGGAGTATGGCAGAAAGGGATCTACAGGTTATAGTGGACCACAAGCTAAATATGAGTCAACAGTCTGACACTGTTGCAAAAAAAGCAAACGTGACTTTGGGATCCATTAACAGGAGTGTTGTGAGCAAGACATAAGAAGTCATTCGTCTGCTCTACCCTGTGCTGATTAGGCCTCAGCTAGAATATTGTGTCCAGTTCTGGGCACCACATTTCAAAAAAGATGTGGTAAATTGGAGATGGTCCAGAGAAGAGCAACAAAAATTATTAAAGGCCTAGAAAACATGAGCTTAGAGGGAAGACTGAAAGAACTGGGCTTGTTTAGTTTAAAAAAGAGAAGACTGAGAGGAGACATGATAGTGGTTTTCAAGTATCTAAAAGGGTGTTATAAAGAGGAGGGTGAAAAATTGTTCTCCTTGGCCTCTGATGATAGGACAAGAAGCAATGGGCTTAAATTGCAGCAAGGGAGGTTTAGGTTGGACATCAGGAAAAACTTCCTAACTGGCAGGGTTGTTAAACAGTGGAATAAATTGCCTAGGGAGGCTGTGGAATCTCCATCACTGGAGATATTTAAGAGCATATTAGGTAGACATCTGTCAGGGATGATCTAGACAGTGCTTGGTCCTGCTGTGAGGGCAGGGGACTGGACTTGATCTCTCAAGGTCCCTTCCAGTTCTAGTATTCTATGATATGTGTATGCAAGTTTATACACATTGTGTTGAAATTCATACCTCTGCAGAAGGGCCTGTGTAAAGTTCTTCAAGTTCAGCAGCACTGCAGTTTCCATATGTGGCTAGCAAGGTGATTGGCCATTCAGCTTCTGTGGTCACAGTGGCTGTGCTTGCTGCTAGCTACAAATAGGTGAGAAGGCTACAAGGGTGAACAAGAAAAGAGGACACTCCTCTGCTGCTATTTCGAAATAGCCCCTCACCAGGGCCATTCTAAGTTATTCCTCCCTAGTGCCTCCTGGGGCTTTAAATCAAGATAAGCACATCTATATTCGAGAAGCCTGCCTTGGACTAATTTTGAGGCTTCCCTGCAGTGTAGACGTGTTATTGCAAAATAATCTCTTTTAGAATAACTATTCCAGAATAGCTTATTTCGAAATAAGCAATCAGTGTAGATGTATCCTTAGGGTAGATGAGGGTCTGGGAGAAAATATACCATGGATAGGTGGAAGAAGCCACAAGCCCCTTCACTTGGAGGCCTGCTGACAGGGAACATGGCTGGAGCGGCTTAAGAGGTGCACTGACGTGTTGTATCCCTAGTGTAGTCTCCAGTGGCAGGACCCAGAGATGGGAGAACTTTGGCAAAAAGAACTAAGTGCAACCTCCCGGTTGGAGTGTCCTGGCTGAACCCTGATGAATGTAACTTTCTAGTGGTTTGTGGTTTCTTGTTTCACTTACCGGACCTCTTCCTACTGCACAGTCTAGCTGCTGAGAGAGTGACTTCCGGTTACTGTAGAGAGAATGAGGCTGTCTGTCTCTGTATGCTGCTGATTTCCTTGACACTGGATAGTCAATTTCCCCTATCCAATATGGATTTACACCTACAGGAGACAAAAGGCATGAGACAGTATTTTTCAGGAGCATCAGCATCAAACACTTCACCGGGCTCACAATCAACTCCATTTAGAAAGATTTTTCAGGTTGTAAATCTTAACTGTCCCAGGCCACCATGAAGCACCACACCTCCCCCAAGCTGCAGTTGCACACAGTGACTTCACATGACCAGCTGCTGGGCGCACACAGCTAGCAACAGGTTCTGCATGCCAGGGCCTTGTTCAAAGACTGTTGGCTGCACACATGTTCCATTCACTTTTATGCACAAGCTTCTGCGTCCTTCCCTCTCTCTTTCTCCACCAGATGGCTCCTTACAAGGGAGCATTTTAATTGCATCACCGGATGCACTGAGAGCAAAATCATATGACCCCGAAGTAAAGAAGACAGAGAGACATTTGTCACCAAATCAAAAGCGAGAGAGGAAAAGACTTGTTAACTCAGCCAATCCCTGTTTCTGCCAGTGCAGGATCAGACTCTTATAGGTATTTCACCACTTTCCTTGAATGACTTTTCCACAGTTGAGCAGATTTAGTAGTAGATGCAGGTTTTCAAATGATAGTCGGCTGGATGTCTATTTTTTCCCACAGTTAAACCCTGTGTGCAAGACAGCTGATTGTGGAAAATCTTCCCCTGTGCCTTATATTGGAGCACAGTGATGGCACCGCTCTGCTCCACCAACAGACTTGCATCTGCCTGTCCTACCACAATGCTGCTGACCAAGTTGTGGGGAGAAAGAGAAGGGGAAGCAGGGTGCTGACTCAGCATATCTCAGGGCAGCATCTGCCAATGTGGGACCCTATGAAGGCCTCACTGTTAACTGAAGCTGCATCCTTGGGAGAAGCAGCTGAGAAGGACAGTGGTGCAGATACTATCTACACAGGGATGAGACCCTCTAGAACACAGGCATCCCAATTCTCTCAGAAGGAGGTAATCAAGCTTTTCCACGTAATGCTAGACTGTGTTTTCACAAACGGGTTCTGTTGGTATGAGTTATGAGGAGAAAGATCAGGCAACTTGTACCTGGATTACCATAAAAACAAGTGGTCCTTGGCGCACCTTAGTCTCTAAAGTCCACAGGACCACTCATTGTTTTTAAAGTTACAGAGTAACACGGCTACCCCTTTGAGATTTTTAACTGGATAACCCTGGTATTTCTGTCTGCTACCGACTTGCAGTTTGGTTATTTTCCTGCATCACTGCCTATTTTCTGTGTAGTAGAAGGAATATGCACAGCTGGGGGACAGGGCAGGTAATTCACCTGTTTAAAACTTTAGCACACTGATATACAGAGGTATAGGTATCAGAGGGGTAGCCGTGTTAGTCTGAATCTGCAAAAGCGACGAGGAGTCCTGTGGCACCTTATAGACTAACAGATTTATTGGAGCATAAGCTTTCATGGGAAAAGACCCACTTCATTAGATGCATGTAGTGGAAATTCCAGAGGCAGGTATAAATATACAGGCATAAGAAAAGAGTACCAGTCAAGAGTAAGGCTAGAGATAACAAGGAGTGGAAATCCATCAACCCCATGTCTATACTTGTGCAGGTTTCTTCATGGGGTTGATGGATTTCCACTCCTTGTTATCTCTAGCCTTACTCTTGACTGGTACTCTTTTCTTATGCCTGTATATTTATACCTGCCTCTGGAATTTCCACTACATGCATCTAATGAAGTGGGTCTTTTCCCATGAAAGCTTATGCTCCAATAAATCTGTTAGTCTATAAGGTGCCACAGGACTCCTCGTCGCTTTTGCAGATTCAGACTAACACGGCTACCCCTCTGATACCTATACCTCTGTATATCAGTGTGCTAAAGTTTTAAACAGGTGAATTACCTGCCCTGTCCCCCAGCTGTGCATATTCCTTCTACTACACAGAAAATAGGCAGTGATGCAGGAAAATAACCAAACTGCAAGTCGGTAGCAGACAGAAATACCAGGGTTATCCAGTTAAAAATCTCAAAGGGGTAGCCGTGTTACTCTGTAACTTTAAAAACAATAACCTCCTTGAAAGTTCGAATGCCTACATTAGCCACCCTAGTTTGAACTAGGGTGGCAGTGTAGACATACCCTTAGTCTATAAGGGTACATCTGCGCTTGCTCCCTAGATCGAACTAGGCAACCAAAAGTGAAGTGCGCGCCAGGACGCATTAGTTCGAACCAAACCCCTTGGTTCGAACTAACGTTACAAAAAATGAAGAGTAACGTTAGTTCGAACCAAGGGGTTTGATTCGAACTAATGCATCCCGGCGCACACTTTCACTTTTGAAACAACTGTTCAGCGAAGTAACGCGCTGGCGAGATCATGCTAATGAAGTACGGGATATTTAAATCCCCGTTTCATTAGCAATTTCAGTCTCCTACAGTTGCATCCGTAGTTCAAACTAGGGAGCAAGTGTAGACGTACCGTAAGGTGCCACAGGACTCCTCGTCACTTATATAGAGTATAGAGTTAGGTTTTCTGGCTTTGTCCTGTAGATGTCACTATTGCTATCCTTGCTATATTATTTTTCACTTTCACCCAGGGCTACTCAACTTTGGAAGCCTCGGGGGCCACAATGATACTCACAGCACATGCCAAGGGCCACAACTTAAGTGTGGTTGCATATACATGCAACTATATATGCAAATATATGCAAATAGCTTATTTCACATTGACGGGCAAGGCTACACAACATGCAGGCCCCATTTAAGTCAGTTCTGCTGTTGCTAATAAAATGCAATATTTACCCGATTTCCACCCATCTGACAGCACTTTTAATGAGCAATGACAGTGCAGGAATTTAACTACTAAAACACATAGCAGCAGAAGACCATTATACTGACTACTTTTTGTTTTGGCTCCCACCCATGGGCCGCATGTGGAGCCCCATGTAAACCCAAACCGCACCATGAGCCACAAAAAAAACAGGCCGTAGGCCGCATGCGGCCCATGAGCCATGTGTTGAGTAGCCCTGCTTTCACAGAATGTATGCTGTGTACATTCACATGTATTTCAGCTACTGCACCTCCTCAGAAAGTTAAAGCTAATCTCAATTCCCTGGTCAAAGGCTGGTGTCATTCCTTTCTTTTCTGGCTGTTTGTATCTGTCTAATGCATTTCCAGGGTGCCTATTGCCACAGTACCTGACAAAAGTGAAAAGTTTACTGGAGACGCCGCTAAGTTGTTAGTTTTTAAGTATTTCACTCAAAAAGCCAGGTTCATTATACTCAATGGAAAACAGACAACAGAATTGCGAATAATCATTTCCATATGACAAATATTTTACCAATGAAGCACAAAGTAAGCTGAAAGGGGACATTTATCACTTTTCTGTGCATTTGATTAGAGAACAGATCCTGTACTGAGCCCACTTGAGTGCCCCGGATCACTATCACTTTTGTGTCAAGGAATTACAACCAGAACTTGTACACGGTTATTGTAGAACAGAAGACAGCTCTCTCACTTCTCCTAAAAGATATTAAAATGCAGTTTTAAAACGTTGTGGGAAATGATAAACTCAGAATACACTGTCAGAGTAGTAAACTTGTGTGATGTTGTCTGAGGATAGACAAAGAAAGGGAGAGAACATCATTAACTCCGTGTTCAGATGTCTCATTTAACATAAATATTTAACACAGCCAGCATTAAAACTTCAGCACAGATATTAACCCTGATTTAAAGTGACATTCCCAACATAAAACTGATGCATTTAAAAATGCCACTGTCCCTATTACTAACCACACTGGCGAGTATAGAAATTAAATAATTTTTAAGATCTAATTTCCTTCTCAGAATTGATGCTGCTTGTTTCCTTTTTGCATTTTCACTCAATCTTTCCAAGGGACCTTCAAAATTGAATTTACAAATCAAGGCCATGTGCATCCTTGCACACAAACACATAAAGGAAAATGACAATCCAACTGAAGTTAATAGGAATTTTGGTATTAACTTCAATCTAGGATTTCATTGATGTTTACTATCATAAATCAAAATATAAGACACACACTGTGCATGTAGGTCTGTACTGTATGCCCCTATTTGTGACTCCAGATCTGAGAGGCACATTTGGAAGTCTCTCTTCTTCAAGACTTCTTTTGTAGTCTGTTGCACTTCTGGTTTCTTACGTATTTCTATATATTGCCATTGGGAATCATAACATTTATGGGAATGTTTAAATTTAAAATGGTTTTAATTACAAATTTCTTTTTGTTAAATATTAATTTTAGTGAAAAATTAGTCAAAATTTCCCCTTCTTACCCCCAATAGTCCGAAGCAGTTCAGTGCACCTTTACAATAAGCAAAACAGTGTGCGTGTGTATGTATACATAATGTTTATAAACAGGGATCATGACTGATCAATATGCATGGATATCTGAATCCATTCTTTAATATTAGCTTTTCATGCACCCTGAATCTTCCAAAAGAAGCTTTAGCTAAAACGCCCCAGAGTAAAGCATGGCAAAAACTGTTTCTTTCAACATCATGATACCATAACCTGAGAAAGTTTCATGCATTTAAATTTCCCAAATGAAAATATTTCCTCTTAGAAACTTACTGGTTGAATTACTGCGAGTCCTTTGGCAGATGGCTTTAGAGTGCACAAAACAATTAGTTTGTATTTCCAATTTAATAGGCCTTTCATTATAGGCACCTGTTGAGGATTCCTGAAAAGAGACCCAGAATATTTAAAAGACAAATGTGACTAGCTGTGTGCAAGGACAAAAACACAGAAGCTACTCTGCATTTTTTTAAAAAATTTCCCAATTTAGTTTGCAGAAACTTCAACCTGGAATTTAACTTTTATCCGAGAATGTGGGGAGAAAATCATTTTATCTGGCTTATATGAAATCAGAGGCAGTGAGTTAAATGGGCCTATAGTGCTCTGGCACCAGGAATATTCCTGGCCTGGGGCTGGGCTCCACCAAAACTCACCCCTGCACTCCCTGCCACTCTTGGGCAATGGAAAATGTGCTGTGGATCCCTGGCACCACCACGGGAAGCACAGCGGGGCAAGAGTAGCTTCCTGCTGCTCACTCCCCATGGTTGCCGACATGTGCCTCCCTGTGGCCTGAGGGTACTGGGGGAATGTCTCCCTAGCATCCACTGCTCTAGCTGCTGGGAGCAGCACATGGAGCCACCTCCGGCCACAAGGACGCATATGCTAGCATGAGTGGCCAGAAGCTGCATTGCTGGTGGCGGCAGCAAGGCCCTTGGGATGTTTTTAAATGTCCAGGGGTGGCAGCGGGGGCAAGGGGACACATAGGAAGAGGGGGCTCATGAGATCAACTGGGGGGAAGCAACAGCTGGGCACCCCCCAACCCTAGAGGCCACTGCCAGAGGGGGATGTCCCCAGGTAAGTGTGGCACCTCCCCACCCACCACCCCTACCCCTTGGTGCACTCCACTGCTTCCAGAGTCTGCACCGTCCCTCCGCACCCCTGTCCTCTTGGACCCTTCCCCCCCCCCCACTTAAATCATTGGGAAAATAGCTGACTAGGATAAAATTGCACAGATGTGACAAACTATCACTTTGCATAAAAATCCCAGCTCATTTTACACAAGGGAATCTTGCAGAGGTTGGGAAGGCCACAGAATGCCATAGGAGCAGGACTACAGGCAGTTCCCGGGTTACGTGGATCCGACTTACATCAGATCCCTACTTACAAACGGGGTGAGGCAACCCCGCACTAGCTGCTTCCCTCCAGCAGACCAGGGAGACGCAAAGCTAGCTCCCCCCCAGCAGACCAGGGAGACACAGAGCGGCTTTTCTCAGCAGACACCTCAGCTTGAGAATAAAGGACTGAGGGAAGTGAGGTGTGGGAGAATAAAACTGAGCTCTGGAGAAATGTTTGGCTAGAGTTTCCCCTACAATATGTACCAGTTCCGACTTACATACAAATTCAACTTAAGAACAAACCTACAGTCCCTATCTTGTACGTAACCCGGGGACTGCCTGTATATGTCACAAGATGTTGAGAGCCAACAGAAAGATGCAACTTACTTCCTGAAGCCTTGTTTTAGTGGAGCTGTTTGGAGGTAGCCTATCAGAGTGAGGTAATGAATGATAACTTTCCTCTTCAGCAGCAGGTGGCGCCATTGCCAAATCATAAAAAAACACGTCCTCATTCTGGCCTGCTTCCCCTAGTGAATTCTTTAGAACAAGAAACACAGAGTCTGATGGGTGCATTGTGAAACTGATTTTCTGGCTGAACAGCTGGATCCAGAATCTCATTTCAAAACCGTTTTCTGTTAACTTTTAGGGGTTTTTTTTCAGCCAACATAGTGTACAATGTAAACTGTCAATGGGGCCTAAACCTGGGTTGGGTACTACCACAACATAAACGTTAGATATAGCCTGCCTTATAAGTCCTCTTTGATTTTGAAAGGAAAAAGAAACAACCCTGAGAGACAGTGTCAATTATGAAGATGGTATAAAGAGGCATGCTCTGGGCAGGACTGCAGACCTCAGTTCTCTTTTCACTGATGAAACTGTACTGACTATGTGTGGTTCCTGGGTTCTAGAGATCTGAACATAGTTTTCATTAATATTTAGGTATCAGTCCTGCAGTGAACTCTGCGTGAACACCACTGACTTCCAGGGGGTTCCATGCAGATGCAAAGCAGAGAAGTACCTCCATGGAACTTACTGCAGGAAAGCGCTTTAGGCTGAGCTAATGAGGTGTAAATTCTAGCGTGCACTAATATGTTGCTCACTCATTGGCTTTGGTGGACTCTGTTGGTACACATTAAAAATTTGTTAGTGTGCATTAATATAGTTCTGTTTCAAACAGTACTACCTTAACATGCACTAGATTGTGTCCAGGTCCAGCTGTCTTCATGTAATTTTTGGCCAACATGCTCTTGACTTTTATCAAAGTGAATGCCCGATCCAATCATTTATTCTGAGTCTCTCTTACAAATTATGGAAGTAGGATTTTAATTTAAATGAATGCATATATAAAATGTAAGAAAATCTCTGGTTTCCTTTTTATTTTGCATGCTTTTGCTATATGACAAAATACTGGAAGAACAGGAAGGACTAAATTAGGGAAATACAACTGGTACCATTCATATGTGTGCTTGAGGATAGATTAAAATCATGAGATCTGGATCCAAATGGCCCATCCACAAAAAAAAAATCAAAGGGTTTCAACTGAAAATGAATTTGTTTTTAATAGTCCTGCCTCACTGTCCTGTTAATGCTACCTCCTGCTCTCTGATCCCCATGGCAAACCTGAGCACTCTCTAATAGTGAGACCCTCAGCTATAGAGCCTTGGACCCAAACCTGGTGGGTCCCTGGCCCTCTCTGAGCTCAGGTCTGGATTCTAGGATCTTCCCTTCATCCACCCTGGGTTTGGTCAATTTGTACATTGGAAACACACAGTGGTAGGGCATGTGCTTATGAAAGGAGTGATTGTATAGTCCCAGATAAAATTTCAAAGGGCTGAGGGCTTCCCATAGCCTCTGTTTGTCCTGGAAGAGCTGCTGGAAGGTTAGCACACTTAGACCACACGAGGTTTGGGGGTTTGTCAAGAAGAGAAAAAACAAAAGTTCCAGATGTTCGGTGCACAGATTCCTCTTGTCTTTTACATCGAGGCTGTTGAAATGTTGCGGAGATGTGGGGTGTGCCACAGCCCTCGCACTTACCTTGTTAGCAATCACCAAATTCACCAGGCCTGTTGCTGACTGAATGAGAGATTCAGCCTCTTTACTGGTGAGCTCTTTAAGTGATTGTCCATTCAGTGTTAACAGTTCATCCCCTGCGCTTAGACGACCATCCCTTTAAAAATCAAACACACACACAGTATTGCAGACCCAAGAACAATACAGTATAATTGAGATTGTTCTTGATGTCTTGTCTACAAGCAGCCACATAAAATCCCTCCTTTCCCCTGCCACTTGAATGCCTTCTGCAGGGGTTAACTACAATCACAGATGGCTTCCTGCTAGCACTCCTTAATAGGGATGTCAATGTGTAGTCAACTATACGATTAACTGATAAGCCTAGGCTTATCGGTTAATCTTGTCAACTACATGCATTCCCTCCCCCGCCTTGCTGCCTCTGTATGAGAAGCGGGGGGGAGGAGGGGAATGATCTGGTGCCTGTGAGGAGCTGACTTTAAGCTGGCTTCCCATGAGCACTGAATCCACTTGCCCCCCACTCTCAGGCTGCTGCCTCTGATAGAGAGGAAGCAGTCTGGAGAGTGAGGGGGGCCGATAAGCACGACAGCAGTGTGGGGAGGAGGCCATGAAGCAGCCTGTGTCTACAGCAAGCCTGGGGCTCCCATGGGCAGGGGCTGTTTTGTGGCAG